CTGAACATGCTTTAGCCTACGCGACAACAAACGACCTAGATAATAAGCCAGTACAAAATCTATTGTGTATACCAAACAGAAGCCCTGTCAGAACTTAACGTAAACGGTGTTGAAATGCCTGTGTTGGGATTCAGTTAAATGTATCAAAGTATGTTAGCCTAAATGTGATAAAAATATCAGAATTTGGACGGTCGTCTAAATTATTTTCTTGTTGAAATAGGATTTAGTCATAATGTGACCGTATTCAGAATGTGCTTCAGATTTTAATTATCGATAAATGATAGGGATGTGTTAAGCATATCGCAGTTTTGTATGACAATTAAAATAACCGCCAATATACGGCGTGGTGTAATTAAAGTCGAATCCTCTCATTAAACTGCCTGAAGTTAAATTGTCGTATTAGTGGCATTTCAAGCTGGTTTCTATATACTAAAAAGATACAAATCAAGTAATAAAAATATTAAAGATACAATTTTGTTGAATGGGTTATTGCTATAACATTAAAAGAATCTAATTTAAACTGATAAACTAAATAATCGAAAATGTGTTAGCTTTATGAAATTTATAGATAACTATAAATTTTTTGCAAGGATAATTGTAAACATTGTAATAATACATATTTGTTTAACATTACATAATTAGCGCTACAACACTAAACATTGAGTTATCAAATGAAAGTAATATGTAATAGCAATTAAAACAATGTTATTTTTCGTAATCAAAAATTTATCCAATAAACACCATGAAATAACAATCGATCCATTTACCATGTATGTACGATTTTATGTGTCTAGTATTTGTTTATTATTGTCCAGAGAAATACAGCACATTGCGTTTAATTTACAGTTAGAATTGAAATTAAAAATAATTGTATCTTGTTATGTGTATTATTAGTTTCTATAAACGTTTATTATTCATTTGTTACATATATTTATTAACCTTTGTACTTAAATTCGTCCATCAAGAAATTTTAGTTTTATCTATTTGATCAAAAATTTTAATAAAGTTTCTTATCTACAATAAGGCTAAATTGTTTGAAAATAAATTTCTCCGGGTACAATGATTCTAGTAATCTAGTCCATAGTTTTTTATATATGAAAAAAAAAACCAATCAGTCTATATTGGCTAGGACTGTCTGCTTAAAAAATCAATGAATATGCGAGAATAAAATTTTCATCCTTAAATCGTTGTTAGCTATAAATACGGCTGTAAGTAATGCTAAGTTCAATGAGAGACAAAATAGGTAAGTCTCATTTCACTTTTAGAGTACACATATGAGTTGGATTATAATTACACTATTAATACATATCGAGTAGGTTTTATTCTTTTCATCGTAGAGAGACAATTTATTTTAAAATAGCTAATAAGTACAATACTTTTAGTTGTTAGAATCATAAGGGCTGTTATAAATGATACATTCATTGCCCAGCCCAAGGTTCACGGTCATAAACCCCTGGAAATAAACCCCCGGACATAAACCCCCGCTACATAAACACCCGGACATTACAACTGCTAGTAGATTTCGTGGATCATTCAGTCTCTTGTCTACGTCAGAAATAGGAACCCGCACAGCGTAACCCAAATATGCAGATTGTTTTTCGATTGTCTTACAGTCGAAGAAAAAATTTCTTTTAAGAGCTATGTTTATTTTTTATAGCTTCAAAATTTCCATTTTTACTAAATTGAATCCCTGCAGGGTTCTTTTTTGGCGCCCTGGGATATCATGTGAGCGCTAAAGTGCGTACTTTCGTTTTAAACAGTGCGATAGACTGTGAATAAGAAAGGTTACTATAGTCTTAAACTGAATCAAATCCGAGCGTCATCCGTCGCCTCGACATGGTGCTATTTGGCGCCCCGGGTTTTCCCGTGTTCGCTATGGCGCCTACGCTCGTTTAAGTGAGCGCATAAGACTAATAATAAATTGGAGTACTATACTCGTTTGCTAAGTTGAATCAGGCAGTTCCGCCGCCGGCGCACCAGCATGGTGCTATTCGGTGCTTCGGGTTGGACTATGAGCAGTTTGCTTTTATGTTTGCATTTAAGTTTGTGTTTATGTTTGCGTGAATTAGCATTATATTGAGTTATTGTTTGCGTTTAGGTTTGCGGTTATGCTTCTATTTGTATTTGTGTCTGCTTTTAAGTTTGCATTTGTGTTTCTTTGTGTTTGGATTTGGGTTTGCGTTTATGGTTGGGTTTGTGTTTTGCGTATGTATTAGTTTTCGGGTTTTTTGTGTTTGTGTTTTCTTTGTATTTGTGTTTATGTTTGCATTTTTGGTTCGGTTTGTGTTGGCATTTTTGTTCGTGTTTTTGTTTTTGCTTGTACTTGTGTTTGCGTTTGTGTTATATTTGCTGTTTCTTTGTGTTTGGTTTTTGGTTGGTTGTGGTTATGGTTGATTCGAAAAGTAATATATTTCCTAAACCCGAACAATGCCGGATATATATGCTCATGGTCCTTTACAAATAGGTTTTTCAGAGAGGCCGTACATGGCCGGGATGGCTATTAGTCTATAAATATTGCTTACATTTTTTTCCGGGTATTTCGTCTCTTGGTTGTTATTGTTTGTAAGATGTGAGATTTGTTTTGACCTCTGAAAGCTTTGGTTTAGATTTAGATAATTACCATTCCTAGGTTTTGATGAAAACTAAACTGGTTCCTAAGTCACACAGACATTAATAAATAAGATTCTCCAAAATCGAAATCACAATACTATGGTTATTTGTTTTGTTAGTTATAATAGTAATTGATTAAAATACTCTATATTGACCGAGCTTAGAAAATATTTCAGAAAGAAATCGATGTTTTTAACAGATAAAAACATATAAGCTGTGATGTGACGTCATTTTAGAAGTGGGGAGAGGGGATAATAGATAAAATCGTTAAAACGCGTAACGTCATTTATGAATGATCCCTAATCCCATAGATGAAGGGGTGGTTTAGTTTTTTACTAATTGGGAGTCCAGGTAGTCTTGTGGTTGATATTGTGTTGTGGTATTGTTGCAAAAATGAAATAATAGTTTAGAGCGCAGAAATATGCAAGTACCCACTGCATGATTATCCACTTTACATTAAATGAAGGTGTTAATATTATAATCTTACATTCACATTTCCTATATTAATCTTTATTTATCTTTTATTTTGCTGCCGAGTAAGGCCTGCAAGGCATTAACGATTGTTCGTTTTCTGTTCATGTTACTGCATTGTTTCTCACATTTCATTGAATCACAGGTGTTTTAATGTCTTGACATTAAATCTTGCTGCCAGCACTATTAATGATACCCCCTGTATATTGTCGTAGTCAATATCTTCAAGTTTAGCATTTATTTTCGCGTCTGTTGTTTATGATATGGTAACATCACATTAGTTTCCAGCGGTTTTTAAAAGGACTATAATGTAGATGTTGAATTTCTTTAATTATGTTCCTAGTATGTTAATTCATGCTGGAAAGTCTTTCAAACTGCAAATGTTTTAAGCCCTATTAGAGGGGAATATTTATTCATAAACTCTCGGTTGTTTTATGTTTGCGTTTTCTGTAGCCGTTGGTTGTTTTATGGCCTTTGGTTGCTAGTCCTACGCCCAACTCTTTTTTGTATCCAGATTTGGGACAGGCAAGAGGCCACCTTACATGGGGCTTAGTTATTTCTGTCCCTATCTACATACTAAGCTAAACATTAAATGCAAATTACTTGAATTCTGTTTGGATAATTTTGGTCTTGGAATCAATATGCGCTCTTTCTTAAAACCATGGCTTGTGTGGGTTTACTAGTATTTATGTAAAAATAATTGAAGTCTTATATGTATTATATGAATCGTTTATTCCATTGTAACATTAAAAAGAGTCATAATAAAGCAATATACATTTTCATTTTCTTTAAAATATTTTGCCGTTCTAAGATTATTATAATTGAAATGACTTAATTTAATTTAAACAAGATTTCTGGACCAATTGCTAGAACTGTTAGTGTCCGTACAGATTAATGTACATTATTTTTACCCTACAACGAAACTTTTCCGACTGCTTAATTTAATTTCCTGGCCTTACATTTGACAACAGAACTTACATCATAACACTAACACTAACCCTAAATCTATACTTATCCCTTACCCTCATTATATAATTAAACATAACACCAATTCTAAAACTAACCCAAAGCCTAAGGGTTTAAGTGCTTCCGACTGTCCTCATGCTTTATGCACAGCCAAGATATACACAATATTGTAATGCTTGTCTCACTTCTCCTACATTGCAATTCAATATTAAACGCTCACCAAAGTTTATCTTGGACAATGAATGCATTCACTTTTGATCCATCATTAGAACATATTACATTCATAAAATTTGTAAAACAAATTGTAAGTTGGATTGCTTTGTTAAATCTACGTCTTTTTTTTTCAGATTTAAGCTGATATCATACACAGATTGTTGTTCCTGGGTTTCCAACACATATTTTGAACAGCTTAATAACCAAGTTTTATATAGCCTACACTATTTAATAGTAATATAATGTCATATATCTCGAGAGCTAAAACAACCGTCATTATAAAAAAAAAACATATATTTATTTATTTTATTCAAACTGGTAATTTTATAAAGATAATTAACTGTAATTTTGACTAGATTAAAGTTAAAAAAGAAGTGATTCAAAGAAAAGGTTTCTGCCAAATATGTGTGGGAGTAGGACAAAAATGAAAAGTACTGTTTTATAGTTATAAAACTAGTTATTTTGGTAATATGGCCAATAAAGACAAACATTTGAGAAAACTCTTTTCTGCATGTGAAGAAGGAAACATTTCAACAGCTGAAAGTATTATTAAAAGCAACAGGGGAATTATTAACGAAACGGACGAAAATAAACGCACTGCATTGATGCTAGCTTCCAAACATGGACACGAGGTAATAGTTCTTTATTTATTAATCCTTGACTGTGAGCTGAATCAACAAGATAAGAAAGGTAGGGATGCACTGATGCTAGCCTCCAAATATGGACACGAAGAAATAGTTATGTGTTTAATACAAAAAGGCTGTATTCTGAATCAACAAGACCACCAAGGTAGGGATGCATTGATGCTAGCTTCCATACATGGACACGATGGTGTTGTAAAGCTGTTAATAGATGCAAATTATGATGTTAATCGAGTTCAAATAGATAAGAAAAATGCTTTCATACTAGCATCAGAAAAGGGATATGAAAAAGTTGTTGAAATATTTAGGAACGCAGATGAAAATCTGTTTCGTAAATTTGGTTTTGAATCATTTATAATAGCGTCCAAAAATGGATACGAAAACCTTGTAAAATTTTTTCTTCAAAATAGAATTGATGTCAACAAGCTTGAATGTGACGGGACTACTGCTTTAATGCACGCTGCTGATAACGGAAAAGCCAATGTTGTGGAGTTGTTACTGCAGAGTGGAGCAAATGCAGACGACGTCTCGTTGGGCGGAAAAAATGCACTGATGTGTTCGATGGTAAAAGGAGACCAAAAAACAGTTGAACTTCTTGTAAAGGAAACGAGTAATCTTAATGCTGTGGACAATCAAGGACGCAATGCTTTAATGTTTGCGGCTATTAACGGACACACGCTAGTTATTGAAATATTAATAAACAGCGGTGTTGATTCAAATAGTTGTGCTGATAATGGAATGAATGCGTTAATGTATGCGTCACAAGGAGGAAAAGAACAAACAGTCAAACTTCTTCTAGAGAAAAAGACTGATCCGAATGCTGTGAATAACCAAGGACGAAACGCATTAATGATTGCAGCTATAAAAGGTCATGTAAACATTATTGAACTGTTAATTAACAATAGTAATAATACGGATACTTGTGACAATAATGGAATGAATGCATTAATGCTAGCGGCAGAAAACAATCAGCAGCAGGCTGTCAATTATCTAGTAGAGAAAATTATCTACCCATATAGCGTTAACAAGGAGGGACGCAATTCTTTAATGATAGCCTCTTCGAAAGGCTACAATGACGTAGTCGTAAGTTTAATAAACAGAGGATTCGACGTAAATTTGAGGGACCATTGTGGTTTTAGTGCTTTAATGTTAGCTTGTCAACGTAGAAAAAAGTCAACGGTAGAACATCTTCTACCTGAAGTTGACATGCATATCAACGACGCAAACATATATGGGTTTACTAGCCTAATGTTAGCAACACAAGAAGGACACGAAGATATTGTAGTAATACTGCTACAAAACCATAAGATTAACATTAATGCCGTTGAAAATGATGGATGGGATGCGTTAATGATAGGAATTTATATGGGACGTTTAACAATAGCAAGGTTATTGTTGAAACAAAATGCAATCATTCAAGTAGATAAATGTAAATGGAATGCCTTAATGATTGCAGCTGAACAGGGACACGATGAAATTGTGGAAAATATATTGCAAAAATCACAGACTACTGCAAATTATTTTAACAGTGATGGTTTTAACGCTTTAATGCTGGCCTCAAAAAACTGGCATTACAAATGTGTACCATTGTTAGTTAAAAAATCAGATGTTAACGCAGTTGGAAGAGGTGGATTGACCGCCTTAATGTTAGCAGCACAGAATGGAAATATAGAGACAGCAAAGTTACTTTTATCTGCAGAAGGTGATGTAGAGGCGATAGACCAACATGGATACAACGCATTAATGATAGCTTCCCAGAATGGCAAAGCAGAGATAGTACGATTACTTATACAATACAAGTGTAACGTTGATGCAGTGAATAAGATAAATGGTTGTACTGCGCTAATGTTAGCGTCGAAATATGGTCATCACAGCATAATACAAATGCTGGTAGAAAACAAATGTGATGTAAAAGCAATAACAAAGTATGGTGTTAGTGCACTAGATTTGGCAAAATCTAAAAAAATTGAGTATGACCTGAAAAATAGAGGATGTAACCTTTCAAACGTAAGTAAATTGAGTTTACAGGGACAAAATGATTTCGATTACGTAATTAATGATTTTGTTTTAATTGTAGTAGAATATATGCAGGTTAAAAATTTAAAAAATAGTTTAAAACGCAAGCAATGTTCGCCTTATAGACCACACAGTTTTGTTAAAGGAGGGAGGGGGGTAGGGAGTGAGTCTATCGCAATCCCACTCACAGAGTACATCAATAGAGCACGGACAAAATATATTTTTTTAAAAAACAATTTATATAGAAAAATTTTATTTTTCGAATGTCCGTCTTGTCAAAAAATATAACTGGAGCTCCCCCCTCCTCTCGAAAGATAAATGTCTAAAATAAACACTGAGTGAGTTTATAAACAGTGAAGTAGTGCTACCACATTAAGTGGTGATAACTAGATCAAAGAAGATTGCTCATCTAGTAATGGAGGGACAATGAAAACACATTCGCAATATGTAAAAATAAATGTTAAGCTTTTTCATTTTTTTCCATGTTGTATTTAGTTTATTTAATAAAAAACGAATATATATATATATATATATATATATATATATATATATATATATATATATATATATATATATATATATATATATATATATACAATTATATATATATATATATAATCAGATAAGTTTTCACAATCGTAATATTATAATGATTGATGTGTGAAAAAAATATCTTATGTTAATTCAACAGAGCTTGAAGTTTTCAAACGATGAACTTAAAATAATTTCTTCTACATACGAAGTACAAAGATATAATAGTTTAAACCTGAAAGATAAGGAAAAGCTGTTTTCTAAATATGCCCAGTGTGGGGACAATGGTAAAGTGAAAGAAAATATATGGAATTCTGAAAATGTAAATGTAGTGTATCTAATACACTGTCAGGTATGCGGTAAAAGATACGTCGGGCAAACTAAAAATAATGTTCTTCTCAGAATGAATCAACATTTGAAAAATATAACAGATAACATAACTAATGGAAAAAATGAACTTTTGTACATACACTTTTCTAGAATTCACGAGATTAAAGACTTCAGATTTTGTATACTTGAACATTGTCAAGAGTATGATAATATTGCGCAATTGGAGCAGAACTATATTAAACAACTAAAAACATTGAAGCCGAATGGTCTTAACATGAGAAACGCAATCAGGTAGGTGCATGAGTTGTATAACTTAGTTATGAATTTGGCTACAAGCTTTTATTTAACTCACTTCCTCGACAATCTGTCGTCAGTCGTCAGTCTAGATCGAAACGCCGAAGTGAAAATTCGGACACTTCTACTTGACCGATACGATTCACAGTTGGCACGTGGGTCTAGGCATGAAGACAATGCAATCTGAAATTAGTAGGCATGTCTATCCAACCACACCACACGCCTCATCACGTTCAATAGCTGCGCCATCATATTCAGTAGGCGCGCAATGGTTTTTAGTCATGTAACTCTATTGTAAATAAAACATGTAAAGTACTGAAAAAAAATTCATAAAAAACGTTTTAATCACAAGATTTTATGTAATAATGCACTAAAAAGTAGAAAATAAATTATACACTACTATTTAAATAACTATAAAGAAAAGCGTGAGTGTCTTCCTTAACATTAGTAAAGGTATCCAATAGATACTAAAGTGACCCACGCTTTTCTTTATAGTTATTAAAATAGTAGTCTATAATTTATTTTCTACTTTTTAGTGCAATATTACATAAAAGCTTGTTATTAAAACGTTTTTATGAATTTTTTAAACAATTATTAATAAAAATAATTCACACAATTTACATGAAATTATTTTGCGGCATATTGTAATAACACGTTAGAGACGGAAGTTCTCTAGTCACAGTATAAAACATATTTGTGAATTTATATCTATTTGTTTTATGTTAATTTTTGTTGTAAAAACCTAAAAATCATATAACTAAATCAAAATGAGGTCAATTATAGTAAAATATATACGAGTATATAATAGTGTATAAGTTATTATAACTTTAAAAATTAAATGTTTAATAAAAAAAAATTCATAAAAAAACGTTTTAATAACAAGCTTTTATGTAATGATGCACTAAAAAGTAGAAAATAAATTATAGACTACTATTTAAATAACTAGAAAGAAAAGCGTGGGTCACTTTAGTATCTATTGGATACCTTTACTAATGTTAAGGAAGACACCCACGCTTTTCTTTATAGTTATTTAAATAGTAGTCTATAATTTATTTTCTACTTTTTAGTGCATCATTACATAAAAGCTTGTTATTAAAACGTTTTTTTATGAATTTTTTTTCAGTACTTTACATGTTTTATCTACAATAGAGTTACATGACTAAAAACCATTGCGCGCCTACTGAATATCAGGTTCAGTAGGCGCGCAATGGTTTTTGAACGCAGCCATTACGTGGTCGTGATGGCGCAGCTATTGATGACGCGTGTGGTGTGGTTGGCTAGACATGCCTACTAATTCGGTCCAAATTTTAATTAATTCATAAAAAATCAATTAGGCATCCAATTAAGTCAAATTTAGTTTCAGATTGCATTGTCTTCATGTCTTGACCCACGTGCCAACTGTGAATCGTGTCGGTCAAGTAGAACTGTCCGAATTTTCACTCCTGCGTTTCCGTCAAGACAGACTTACGACAGACAGAGGAAGTGAGTTAAATAAAAGCTTGTAAAAACCTAAATACACGTCAATATGCTATTCTATTATTACTAGGACACAATTTTTATATATATATATATATATATATATATATATATATATATATATATATATATATATATATATATATATACATACACTAACATACCGTCCGGTCTCAGAAGAAAGTATGACGCAATAGTTTAAAAGGATTTCATTTTTGTGTTGACAATCAAATATCTTTAGATGCGTGTCCTTGCTTTCCAATACAGAATTTTGTTAATGAAAACAATGCCTGTGCAACATTTCTTGGATCATATTGTCGGGGCACAGTTTTGCAAACACTACCGCCCAGCAAGCCCTAGGGTGTTATGTATGAAAGCCTTGAGTGTACGGTAATCTAAGTAATAGTGAGTTAGAATACACTTAGAAGACAGCCCATGTGTCAAGTTACACTACCGCAGGAGCGCCACGTACGACCCTTCTCAGTTTAATCAACTAATTTCGTGTCGATATTTAAGTGTGCTCCTTAAAATGGACTTAAAATTAAGCCACCGACATATAGGCTCCCGTTATATAGGATCCCATAAAAGTGCGCCATCTCAATAAGACCCCCGACAAATAGGCTCCCGTCATTAAGTTTCTCCACAAAGCGTCCCCCGTCATTTCGACTCCCAACAAATAGGCTCCCGTCATTTTTCTCACGAAAAATAGGTTCCAGTCAATTTAGCTCCCGACTAAAGGACCTCTGACAATACGGTTTCTGTAGAGACTAAGTTGTATTGTAACGGTTGTATTGTGTATGACACCTGCCAGTGGCACACTTTCATCAATATTATTTAGGGCTAGCTTATCCAACACTCTTAAGTAATACAACGTATGTATATCTTGTTTGGCAGACTTTATTTTTATATTAGTTTATCTATTGTAAGAAATAGTATCTATGACTTCCATAATTGAGTCGGTTATAGGCTGTTCCAAATCAGTGTGTGGGGAGAAGGGTCCACGCTGTACATTCCTACCTGTAATATACTTGTAGGTTATCAAAACAAAATGCTGTTATCATGTAAACATCATTTATATCATACATTTACACTTCTGTGCTCGCTTTTAAGCAACAAATCTGTACTGTTGTAAATTAAATAATATGAAACCTTTAGAATTGGTGGGATTTAGCTGTTAATGGCTCGATTTGTTTGTGAATTGATGTTGGTACATGAAAAACAATTTCATTCATGCATTGAAAAGATGTTACAGTGGTAGTGGATGTATGCCAAAATGGTAACTTTTATGCAAATAGTGGTCATGCCATTCATTTGTCGGGAGCCTATATGTCGCGAGTAAGTATGACGGGGGCCCATTTGACGGAGGCCAATAAGTCGGGGCCCTTTTGAAGTGGCTATTTTGACTGGGTCGTTTTGTTGGGGGTCGATTTGACCGGGTCAAATTAACGGGGCCGTTTTGACATGGCACCTTTAGTTTGTTTTAGAACACATTTTATTGAAATGATAAACGACTATTATAAATCTTACACGCCTGACATTATAACACTATGTATTTTTTACAACACACGTCAAATTAAACCATTGTGAAAATACACATAAGTATCCAATTAGTTTTCTTGCAATTATATATATATATATGTATGTATATATATATATATATATATATATATATATATATATATATATATATATATATATATATATGTATATATCTGTGTTCTCTTATTTGTTTTTAATATCCAGAATCTTGCAATGGTTTACTTAGTTGTAAATAAAGTGTTTTATTTCTAACAGACAAGACTAAACAGACTATATAAACCTTTAACACATGAGAAGAGTATGTGGAGAGGAATGTGGGAGCTGGTCTTAGAGAAGTGTAGCAGATCATTTGTCTGTAGTTTGTGTGCAGTTAGCGCAGTTAGAAATTGGGAACTGAACGAAGTCCCAATAGAGATACATCAACGTAAATTTGTTGAAATTTGTGCATAATACTTTACGACTCAAATTTCATTTTTGTAATGCTTCATTGTTATTTGAAAAATAGAAGGTATTGTATTTTCCATTTTTTTTTTGTAAAACGCTAAATTAGATAACCCAAATAAGGTGAACTACTGTTAAATATGTCGGCCCCTTTATGCTCATTATAGTCCTTATATAATATTGCTTAATGTCAAACAAAAATATTATATAAAACCATGTACAGAGACGTGAGAAACGATTATAATGAATGCTTTTTTACGCTACTTTGAAGCTTATAAAAAGATTGTTATTATTAATGCACACAGTACATACATTCATTTATAATTAAAATCGCAAGTAAGAATTATTACATTTAAATAGCTAGATAATCTTGCAAACAAAAATTAATGTGATGTGTAAATAATTTTTATTTTTAGTAACATCCATTTTTTATTATATTGAAAAAACGGTAATATAGTTTTTCTTTAAATAGAAAATGGTTTTTTAAAAATTATTCCTTAAATTTATAAATATGAAATACTATGCCTCTACTTAAATTATCTAAGAAATAAACAAGACTGGAGATTTTCGGATGTATTTTGTAAGCGCTAATAATATTCATTTTAAATTTAGCAGATACTTTGATATATCATTTTAGACAATGTAAATGTTTATGAAGCAAAATCCGTTTTTATTGGTTTTCATTTTTTAAAGTAAGAATGTGTATTTTAAATATTTCATCAAATTTGAATCAACTTTTGAAATGTCAGTGCTAAAAAAAAGGTTGCACATTTTTCGAACTGATCATGCTTATTATATAGCCCAGAATTGGTATATTTGTATTTTTGTATATGTGTATATTTTTTTTAATCAAACATGATTTAATTAACGCAACACAAACAATTAAACAATGTTGATATATTTACTCGAAGCTACTGAACACAAATTTAGCTTAAGATCAAACATATTTTCAGCAACACTGTCGTGTTATTTATAACTATTTATTCTTAAAATCAAATTAGCCTTCTATCAATTAAAAATAATACTATACATGTTTACTTTAAATTGTATTAAGGGAGTAGGCTTAGGAAAAAAAAGGGGAAAAAAAAACTTTAAAAACTAAGCTTTTTTTAAATTTCTTGTTTATGTATAAGTTAGGGTACTTAAGGGGAAATATTTGCATGTATCAGTGACTCTTCTGAAAATATGGTCACCATGGTAGCGGCGGCCATCTTGGAAAAAACTACCTTTTGTGGTGTTCTAACATTTCATAAGACCTAACAAAGAAGGTCACACAGGCTGCTGCACTTGGTCATATATATATATATATATATATATATATATATATATATATATATATATATATATATATATATATATATATATATATATATATATATATATATATATGACCAATTATCCTAGTAATTATAAATCGTGGTTAAAATGTGTTTTATCTGAACTTAATTTTTTTATTAACATATATATTATTATCTTGATTTTTTAAAAATGTCATTTTACTTTCATCATTTAATTACAACATAATACAATTTATGATTATGTCTTTGAAGTTGTATAAAACAACAAAATAAATTATTGTTATTATTTTAAATTTCACAAAAAATTTATAAAAATAAATTACAATGTGGGAGGACTGCTATAGATATAGCTATTTGAAAGTGAATAATGTTTGATTTGATGTGTCTCATTTTAAAGGGTACATGATACACATGTCTTCGAAAAAATTTATAATTTTGCTCTTCAACATTTAAAATTTTTTTTTAATTCGATACTAATACCTTTTATTTTTCTAACCCTAACATTTCGGACGTCTACAGTCTACGGTTATCCTTTATTGCGAAGTGAAACATGGTACCCCTCCCCCAGAACATTTTCACACTACTACGCGGACAGCGGCTATCTTTGAGCGGGTATTACACAATTTATTGCCCACAAGGCAACATAAACTCTATAGCAATATATCGGCCAAGCACTCGTGTACACACTGGTGTAGTGACCTTTTCTTTTGTTCTAAAAATAATTGGGTAAACGTGGTTTTCTATAAAGTAAAATGTGATGTAAAACTCCAGGCGCTTAAAAGTAATGAAAGGGAAGATTCATTTATACGCTTGACCAATCATACTATAGTACAGTAACTCAAAATAATTCATAATAGGTTGCAACTAAAAAGGTGTGCTAGGCAGCCATCATGTTTTTATTTTTATTTTATTTCCCCTCATAGAAAATACACATTGGGAAATCACAACTCACGCGATAACTAAAGTTAAAGGCTTGTGAAAAACCAAATGTAGAATAAGTTCCACTTCCGTTTACCGGAAATCGCTAGAGTTGATACAGAATAACAAACATATATAAAATGTGATCATCCTTGCTGTAACTGTACTTAAGTTATCGTGTTCACAGACATTCACACATACACACATGCTCAAACACACGGACATTTGGACAAAATTGACAAAATATCTTTTTCAGGGTCAGGACTTTGTAAAGCGTTGATTTTGTGCACGATTACAATACTTCCTCTATACTTTTTATACGAGAAAGTAAAAATGTAGGTATTTAAAAATTGATTATAAAAACATATCCATACCCCGATTTCCGTGAAGTTGCCATCCCCCTTCGTGTTATATAAGAATATTCGAGAAATTTTAGGGGAGATTACTCCCGCTTAAATTATTGACTGCATTTGAAAAGGCGCTGCCCGTGTTTGTGTAGATCAACATGGAATTTTTAAAAAACTGAAAGAAGAATTAAATATATTTTTAAAAATATTTCTCTGTAAGCAATTAATAAATCATTTTTTGTAATGCAGCTCTAGATTTTAACAGTATTTATCTTTATTATGTTTTATTTTTTGGTCATTGTAAAATGAATTATTGTTTACGTCGTTGTTTTTTGTAGTGGTGTTGATAACTTCTGACTCAGACTAAACTATAGCTACAATGGTACCCATAAATATGTATTACATCAACAGTACGGCAGTGGCGTAGCTAGGGTAGGCGGGTGGGGCTCCAAATTGGGTAGAACAATAAAATAAAAATATTGTTTTGAGATGCATTATATTTTGTTATTGCATTGTTATCAGTAACAGAAGATCCATTTTATAGAGTACACATTTACGAACCATTAATATTGTGTTTCGAATACTTTCATGCCGTATAATATTGAAGAGGGCAAATGCGGTTTGTATGTTGTTATAAATTTATAAGTAATAATACTTGTGTGTTATTAAAATAATTGTACTGCCAGATATGCATGTTTACTTTGGTTTCATTTAGGCCAACTATTCGACCATATTCATTGTACCATGAATTTTAATAGGGTGTTTTTTTCTTATTTCCATCAAGTAACTATTTTTCGATATTATTTTTACTTATAAATTAACTTTTGATAAGTTTAAAACATTGTTACACACTTATGGTTCGTAATATATTTTATACACGCTGCGCTACATGCTATGTAGTAAATATTGTAAGAAAACATTTTTTTTTTGCTACAAGACGTTTAAGTTTATAATACCTTCTTATTTATGATTTATTAATACTTTTAATACTTTTGTTTTTATCAGCACTAAGTACATATAAATACAAACATTTAAAATCGCATACCTTGTGGCTAATGTTTTTTAAATTGACAAAATATATATTTGAATTATAAAAAAATAGCTTCAACTAAAAATCAGGCCTTTTTAAGGATAAAATGTATTGTTTTCTGTAAACTAAAATGCATCTTCTTCTTTTTCGTTCTTAATTATTAGTGTTGAAGGGGATCGAGAATTATTTGCTAGTGCGTTTAAACTCAAGACTTTGTTCAAATTTATCAACCATGAGCTTTTTGCCGACTCGACCACGCCTCCAACACAATTAAGAGTTACGTGACAACTGGTTATGCGCCATTGAAGCCATTGACTCCGATTTCAGCTTGCTTACTAAAATGCATAATTTCTTTCTTTTTTTCAATACTCATTTTGTTTTTTTATGGACTAGTTAAGTTTTAGATAGCAAGGTCACAAGTCTAATTCATGGAAAAGTAGTAAAGTATCACTTCAAGTTACCGGAAATCACGCGAAAAGTGTTATAGTATCTAAAACTTATATATATTACTCCCTTAACCAACTGTCAATGCTGAGGTACCTTATTCACAAAACACACATACACAGAGAGAGAGAGAGAGACACGCTTATAGACAGAATTTTGAAAAGGTGTTTTCCGACTTAGAAAAGTGCAAAACGGTCAAGATTCGTTGAATACTGTATTTTAAATAAAAATGTAGTGGTGTGTTGTAAACTATTTATAATTTTGTTGGATTATGTACATTTTATTTAATTAATACGTTTTAAAATTCTCACCATTTTATCTGTATTTTTGAGGCATTTAAATTTTATATCTCATCTCCTCAAGCATTGCATGCATTTAAATGTAAGAATGGTGACCTACATATCATGGTTTTGATTTTACTAGACTACAAGTAGCACATCGTTTCATTAAATGCATCGACTAAGATTTTGTAAAGTCGAGGTTGCTTTTGTTGTTTTATATTTAGATATTTTTTCATGTGCATAATTTGTTTAATGACAAGATGGGTAATTTTTTATTCTATTTCTGTGTGATCTTTATCTAAAGTGAATAGCCAAACATCTCAACAAAATGAAGAAAATATAAATATAAATACGTTTTTTTTTCGTCGGATTCGTTGTTAAATAATTGAGTGTACAAATTAAAGATTAAGATCTACTCTGGTATACTATAAAATAGAAATACTGTAATAGAACAGTTTATTTAAAATCATTACAAGAATGTTATAATAGTAAATGCAACTATTGTACATCGATGTAGTGAATACTCATATGTGAGTGTTTAACATATATACTTAAAGCATTGGTATTAAAATTTGCTTTGAAATACAAAATGTAGGGCATACATTTTAGTCATATTTTTTAGAGATAACATTTTAGTTAATATTACTATTAAAAAACCCATACTTGTTCGTTGTATAGTCAGCATATTAGTTAATTTATATTTTAAACTCCTATACTCCACACAGTTTTGTAAAGATAGGCCTATTTGAAAAAAAATATGTAGATAGTTTTAAATACTCTATTTACACATATTTATCTACTATTTCATTCGAAAAGATATTTAAAACATTTATGTTTATAATATGAAAACATGCTATAAGTAGGCATAAACTTGTCTATGCCCTCATAATTTAAATTCAAATTTTATTGTTCGACTAAGTGACACATTGCTGCTAAGTGTTAACAAAACACAAAATATTATCAGAACAGTTTTAATAAACACATATAGTCTAACAGAATTTGGAATTTAAAGACACACATAATTTTGTAGGTTTTTGCGTTGTACGAGTTAGTTAAATGCTATAAATAAATATAAATGTTATAAATAATTAAGCTTTTTAGATAGCTGAAACTATTTTCAACATGTGAATCTGTGCTTTTCAAAAGATATTTGTTTTTACCTATAACCTTAAAATGGTGTTACTATATTCTGTTGCTTATTGTCTATTTTTGAAAGTTTTAAGTATAAGGTGTCTATTTTTTAAAATAAAGGTTGGTTATCTATGTGCAGATTTTGTGTTGTTTGTAAAATCCTGAATTCTAGTGAAGGAAATATAATTTTGTTAGTGTGATATAAGTTATACTTTTGAATTTACAAATGAATTCCCATTTAAAAATAAGACAATTATTATTCAATTACTATTCTATTCTATACTATTCTATTACATTTAAAAAAAAATGTTATTAGTTATTAAAATATTCAATGTGTTTTTTTAAATAGAAGGAGCAGAATACAGCTACTTAAACAAAAAGGTAGGTAATGCTTTTAATGAAATTGGTAACCTTATATTAAGAGTTGTCTCCCCATAAACAAAACCTAACTAAACTAAGGTATACTTAATCGACGAACTATAGACTCCGAATAATGAAAATAATAATTCTGTTTTGTCGTTTTTTAACTGACGTTGTAATTACGTTAAACTTGAACGATTCTTGTACAAAGAATACAGAAATATACGTGTGCATGCGTTAAAAAAAGGTTGGTAATTACCTTAAAGTATTTTGCAGATAGGATTATATTATCTCTGGCCTAAATGCATATAAATAGGCTTATTTCATGGACTACTAACACAGTTTTTAAAAAAATGGAATACGGAACTTACCTGAATGCGTTTATCATATTTAAACCATTTGGCTTTAGTGTGTGTAATGTGTCGATATAGAATTGCTCCAATGATCTAATATTTTTACCAGCTTTGCATTTTGTTAAAACCGAGAATCTGACGTTTTTTCTCTTATGTTTAGAAACATGTTGGTACAGCAGTCTGGTTTTTTGAATTTTAATAAGTAACGCATATGCTCGTTTATTTCGTTAAAGACATGTTTTTGTGTGCTTCCAACGTAATTGTTGTCGCAATTTTTGCATCAAATTAAATATATGCATCCTGATCGTAACGTGTACATTTCTTTTTCGTTTAGACAATTCTCATCATATTGTTGATGGCACTTCATTAGGTTTCTCATGCGTTCGACAGTTAGTTTATACCAGGGTAGTATGGAACGTGTCTGAAGTGATGAAATATTATTTTAAAAAAAAAACAACACATAAATAACAAACCAATGTATTGTAAAAATTGCCTTGTATAAAAATAAGCAACTTTTAAAACTTGTAGCAAAGTTTTGCCGCCTAAACATTCGATCAGTTCAAAATATACAGTCCTAATGAAATACATGAATATGGATGTAGGGCTTTTTTAAAATAATGCTTTCATATTGAAATATAAATCACTATTTTTTATGATTTTCTATTCCTATCGTTACTAATATTATTAATAATTTCAAATATTAATTAAAAATGATAATAAAATTATTTTAGATATACATACCGCATTGCATTTTCTTTTGTATTCTTCAAGCAGTTTGATAACATTTTCATCTCTATTCCGACGTGCAAAGGCTAATGCATCTAATCCCATTTTATTTTTAACGTTAACATTGCATCCATTTTTAACAAGAAGGTTTGCAATTTTGTAATATCCATTTTTAGAGGCAATCATTAGCTAAGTAAATCCTTATTTATTAACAAAATCAATATCGCATCGCCTGCCTGATAACACTTCCTATAAATTATAGAATCCATTTTGTGAGTGTTTAGTACTCGTAGCATTACAGCCTTTCTTTTTTTGTAATGTACTTAAATGACAACTTTTTCTTTTAAGTTTTTTTTCAGGAATAACTTGAATACCTTTAAATGGCCTTTTTCACATGCAAGCATTAAAGATGTCCAACCTTAATTGTCAACAGCATTAATATTAGTTCTTCTATAATTTTAAATAACTTTAACAACGCTTTCGCGGCCTTTTAATGACGATAACATCAATGGATTTCTCCCGGGATGTTTAGGCCTACCTGTTTTTTTTTATCTTCAATTTTTTTTTAATTCATCAACTATGCAAGTATGCCCTTTATATTTGGCCAAGGATAATGCATCCCACCTTTTGCTTCGTAGCGTATTCACATCAGCTCCACTTTGGAGAAGCAGTTCCACAACTTCAGCGTGTCCATTCTTACTAGCAATCTTAATTGCATCCCATCCATTACTTAGTTCGTGATTTAAATTATTTACTCTGTTCGCTAGTAAATCAACGACTGCTCTGTGATCGTGAAAAGAGGCTAATAATAATGGATTTATTCCAAAACGCTCAATAATATTAACGTTTGAGTTTTTACTTTCTCGTATATACGTAGTATAGAGAAAGTATTGTAATCGTGCAAAAAAAATAATAAAAAATCGAGATTTTTACAAATCTCGACGTTTTACACCTCACTGATACGGAAAAACATAATTTTGCAATCTTGTCCGTATGTCTGTGTGTGTGTCTGTGTGTCTGTGTGTGTGTCTGTGTGTCTGTCCGTGTGTAAACACGATAACTTGAGTACCGTTACAGCTAGGTTGATGAAATTTCTTATATAAGTATTATATCAAAATCGTAGATCCGTATCAACTTTTGAGCGATTTCCGACAATCGGAAGTGGTACTTTTTCTACTTTGAATTTTTCAAAAGCCTATAACTTGAGTACTATTTCAGATAGATAAATGAAATTTCACATGTAAGTAAAAGATCTAATTCTCTAACTTTTGTTAAATTTTGAGTAATTTCCGTTGACCGGAAGTAGTAATTTACGCTACTTCCGATTTCTCAAAAAACTAATGTAAATTTATTAAGTACTAATACTATATCCCCAGTTACCATTCCCTGTTGTTTTATATAAGAATATTCGAGAAAATTTAGGGGAGATCACTACCGGTTTATTTGTAATAGTAGCTCTACCGACCTATACAGTCCATTTTCAGATGCTAGAATTAAAGCGTTTACTAACTCACCAGTCGACGAGTTTACATCAGCCCCATTGTCAATTAAAAGTTTGACCACATCTTTATGTCCCTCTTCAGATGTCAGCATTAATGGACTCCGATTCCTAAGGATATACGAATTGGCATCTGCTCCGTTTTCTAAAAGGAGTTCTACAATTTGTTCGTGTTTGTTTTGCAAAGCCAAAATTAACGCATTTGATTCTTTATACTGACTATTTATCTTAGGTCTTTTTTGTAATAAAAGTTCGGCAATATATGTTTGCTTGTGTCGTAAAGCCAACATTAAAGAGCTACACCCTTCGTTGACAGTTTTATTAACATTAGCTCCATTATCAACTAGAAGTTTAACAATTTTCGTGTGCCCATTGTGTGCAGCCAACATTAAAGCACCCCATCCTTTTTTGACTTCCGCATTTACTTCAGCGCCACTATCAAGTAGAATTTGTACAACATTTGTGTATACATATTGTGATGCCAACATAAAGCATTCCGACCAGTATTTTGTGTGATATTTACATTGCTCCATTTTGTATTAGTTCGGCGGTTTTATTTTCATCACCTTTTTCAGCAGCCTCCAGTAATTCAATACTTGCATTCAATTGCTTGGCATTCACATCATCCATTTTTACTTTCTCGTATATACGTAGTATAGAGAAAGTATTGTAATCGTGCAAAAAAAAAAAATCGAGATTTTTACAAATCTCGACGTTTTACACCTCACTGATACGGAAAAACATAATTTTGCAATCTTGTCCGTATGTCTGTGTGTGTGTGTGTCTGTCTGTCTGTCTGTCTGTCCGTGTGTAAACACGATAACTTGAGTACCGTTACAGCTAGGTTGATGAAATTTCATATATAAGTATTTAATCAAAATCGTAGATCCGTATCAACTTTTGAGCGATTTCCGATAACCGGAAGTGGTACTTTTCCTACTTTGAATTTTTCAAAAGCCTATAACTTGAGTACTATTTCAGATAGATAAATGAAATTTCATACGTAAGTAAAAGATCTAATTCTCTACCTTCTATAAATTTTTGAGTCATTTCCGTTGACTGGAAGTAGTACTCTACGCTACTTCCGATTTTTCAAAAAACTAATGTAAATTTTAAAAGTAATAATAATATTGCGCACTATTATGCGCTTTTTTATTTCGCGTTCACTTGGTGTGCAATTAATTTGTCTACGAGATTTTATTCTATTTTTAAAACTTTAAGTATTTAAAATGGATTAAAAATCATGTCTATAGCCCGAGTTCCCATTCCCTGTTATTTTATATAAGAATATTCGAGAAAGTTTAGGGGAGATCACTCCCGGTTTATTTTTAATTAAATTATCCAAAACTTAAACGTACACCACAAAAAGCATTTATTAAGGTAATCCATTCTCTACGCATCGAGTTGACAAAGGCCCCTACAATTATCAGATCTTCTGCAAATCTTAATTATCCATTGAGTGAAGCCAAAATCACAGCTTCGTACCATATTGTTATTGACTTTTTGTGTCTACTGAAAATGGAAAAATAAAAATTAGAGAAACACTATTTTAATATTAAAAAACAATAATAATAGCTTAAAATCTATAGCTATTTGAAACGATTTAAAATTTTAAATAATTATCATTAAAAAAGTTTTTAAAAACCCACGTTTTCTGATTGAACTAAAAAGTAGAAAATAAATGCTATACATCACAATAATGCAAGCGATCACTCTACTATAAGCGATGAAAAACGTGGGGCGCCGAAGTAAAATTTTGTTTCGGTTATTGTTAATATAAGATGTAAAAGTTATATTACTATTGATTAGATAATATTATTGACTTTTATAAGGGAGCTTGTTGAGAGTCAACAGTATTAGAAACTGTAAGAAAATCACAGCGCCCCACGTTTTTCATCGCTTATAGTAGAGACTTTTTAGTCTTTGTCTGTTTGTTTGCATTAAAATCTTGCTATCGATTTTATCTTTTCGCATTCACTTTTTTTTTTGGGTAAACGAAGACAACTCGTAAAAAACACGTGCCTTGAACCCGTGTCGAGTGGGATAGCAATCGTGTGCCCAACCACTCGACCATATCGTCTCCCCCATACTGGCCACCAGTTGTTCCGGTTGTTTGTACACAAACATCGCGTGACCAAAAACTCAGTAAGCCAAAAGAGGGAGAGTACCGAACCTTGTTTTCATCAAATTACAATTACTGGGTTATGTCCCCTTTTCCCCACGTTTTTGTGTACAAATATATAGCGGTCTAAAATGATCAATAAAATGTTTCCATGGATCAATTTAGTAATAATAACAGTTGAATATTCTATTGTCATCGGAAACAAAGCGTCCCTGAAAATTTCAGCGCGCTAGCTAACTGGGAAGTACCCGAAATTTTGATCGCAAGATTTGATTGGAGAACCAAACAAACAGACGCGAAAGCAAGTTAAAGAAAACGTGGGAAAATAATTAAACATCTGCATTAAGAAGAAGCGAACAGTGTTTATTTTACATCTTTTTAAAAAGTGGTTAGGATATATTTAAAAATGTTAGTATACACTAAATATTGCAATTCTCCACTGTACTTTTTATTAATTAAAAAAATGTGACTATCAAAGTTTTTAAAATAACCAGCAGGAATTAAACATAGAGATATAAATAGATTCATAAATGAACTATACAAAAGAGCAACTGGTAGCTTTTTTTTCTACACTAACAGACTATATTAAACCAATCAAGTGCAAAACCAATGAAACAGGAGTGATTTCTCCTAGACGTTCTCGAATATTCTTAAACAGCACTAAGGGGGCTGACAACTTGGAATTTAGACATGTTTTTAATCCATTTTTAATTATTTAAAGTTTTTAAAACAACCTAGAATTTCACAGAAAAAAGAATTGCACACCAAATGAACGGCAAACAATATGTGTATAATAGTGCTGAATATTAGGCAGATGAGTCTCGTTAGCTGGGGACAGCCACTCTTCTAGGAGACACAACTCCAAAATCAAACAACTGCTGCCTTGTAGTTTGTTCTTGGTTGGACAAAGGCTGCGGAAGCAAATCTTAAAAGATAACAATAATGACGCATAACCAGTTGATACTTATACTTAAATGTGTTGGAGGGAATCCTTTTCAACACTAAAATTAAGAAAGAAGAAGAAGAAGACGCTCTTTATAAAGTCAAATGCGTTTTTTTTTTGAGAAATTGGAAATAGCGTAAAGTTCTACTTCAGGTAAACTAAAATTGCTCAAAAACGGACCAAGGGCAGTGAATTAGATCTTTACTTTTATGTGAAATTTCGTTTATCTATCTCAAAAACACTCAAGCCATATGCTTTTTTAAAAAAAAAGAGGATAAATTCCACTTCCGGTTACCGGAAATTGCTAAAAAGTTATTCTGAACTATAAATTTCTCATAATTCCTATATATTAAATTTCATCAACCTAGCTGTAACAGTATTCAATTTATAGTGTTCACAGACATACTCACACAAATACACACACCGACAAAATTGCAAAACTGTTTTTCCGAATCAAGTATGAAACGTCAATAGATGTGAAAATCTCGATTAAGACTTTTGGCACGATTTCAATGTCTCCTCTATCTTTCGTATAGATGTGAAAATCTAGATTAAGACTTTTTGCACGATTTCAATATCTCCTCTATCTTTCACTTGCCCCATAGATCGAAAGGTTTGAAAAAGTAATTTCCTATGACAGCCAACATGATGATGTATGCATTTTATTCTTATTTAGGTTGTCACAGACTGTATAATTATGTATCTTTATTATATTGTGTTTTGCATGAATGAAGAGTACCTGGCTAGCGGAAGGACTGTCTGAGCGATCGTCATGTGTTTTTCCGTGTTTTGGGTGAGATCGCTCATTGACGTAAGGGGAGAGAAAGTTGTGAATAAAAGGGGAGAGCAAAAGGTGAACGGGTGTTGTGTGCTAGGACTTGGGACTGGAACGATGGCAGTGAATGTAAGATGTCTCCATGACTTGGAGTTGTGATTATTATTTGTACCTATATCAGTTGATCTTCAAATATGGATGTACCACGGATTTATCTGTACATAGTGTAAATAAAGTTGTCATTTCAAGTTGCCACTGTTGCTCGTGTTCCTGTATGAAAGCTAACCCACAACAACAAAGAATACATGTTGTTACATATGGTGTCAGAAGTGGAGGCAATAAAGTGATGTTGCTACATTGTATTACTGTTACTTATGATGTCACAAGTGGTTGAAGAATTGGTGCTACATATGTCAGAAATGGAGATATTACAGTCTGTGGTCTTCCACTGTTTACCAAGTACGTCAAGTTCTTGAAAGTCATCTATCTACACTCAAGTCAGAAGGGTTGCTGTAGTCAAGTCAGACGTTTTGTTCAAGTCAAGTCATCAACGTGATAATTTTTATCACCTTATTTCGATATTGTCTCACCAATGTCGAGTAAATATCGTCTGTGTGTTTTTTCTGTTTGGATTTAGCCGATCAAGTCTTAGTGTTTCTTTTCTACTGTTTGGATTTAGCTGTTCAAGTTTTTTTCTATATGGATTAGCTGTTCAAGTTTTTCTACTGTTTGGATTTAGCAGATCAAGTTTATTTTTGTAACTGTTCCTAAACTGTTCCTAAAGATGTCTTATCTAAAACTGGACAAATTTCTACTCTGTAACAGGCTACTAGAACTATTTTGAATTTTTTTCAACTTTTTGGAATCAACAAAGTGAACTATTTTTGTACTATATATGTACTATGAACTTTTCTTGGATTACCAGATGTCTGTAATCAACTGAACAAAGCCAGAATACAAGAAAGGGTATTGGTAAATTAATTAACACTTACCTATTGTTAACTAATGAATTTATATTTTATGTCATAAATAGAAAATATATCAAAATGTCAAGTCGTACATATTATAAAGAGCTAATGAAGGAGCTCGACATTCCGATGGTCAAGATGTCAAGACTAGAAGAATATATGGAAATGGCGAGGGATCTAGGCATTAAGAAGATGAAGAAGAAGATAGCCTGGGCAACCAATCGACTTGAACAAGACAGAGAAGGAGAAAAAGAAGCATTGGACAAAGAAACAGAACAACCCCGACTAGTTCATGAAGACGTAATTAGAGAATTAGATGATGAGATAGAAATAATGCGTGATAGATTAAGAGATGCTACATACACACATGAACCAAAATTAGAAAGTCAACAGGTAGAACTTGAAGAAGTAAATATTGGCAACCTTTGGAATGAAGAACAGAGTAACATAGTCCAGGAAGAATTGAAACCCAAGGAAAAAACAGAAGTTGAACTTAATAATGATTTAAAGGTGACAGATACATTAGAATGTCTTAAGATTGACTCTTTATTGACCCAAACGCAGGTACACGAGAATATTATTGAAAGTTGTATCACAAGTCCATCAGAGAATGGTAGTCAAGATGATTTAATAAGCCCATCAGTCAATGGCAGTGATGATTTAATAAGTCCATCGGAGAATGGCAGGAATCATGATAAACTAATGATGATTAATGAATCAGTGAACTTAATAAGCCACAATGAAGAGAACGTACCTATTGAGGAGTTACTTAAAAAATTGGAGTCAAACTATAAAGAAGATATACTAGAACTCAAGAATAAA